GAGAGGCAATGGGCCACCACCTAGTGCTGGACTAGGAGTGCCTTATACAACACTAACAATGAATTAGCAAGCCATAGGCCTTCACAAAAACACCAAAGCTTAGTTCAAAGACTTACCATGGACAGCAATAACTAATCATAAATAAACCATAGCAAAACACTTTTCAAGGTCTAAGTATCATCCAATCTTGTGAACTATCAAGTGAAAAAAGGAATGAAATCACAACCATTTCAGGGTCAATAGTCACCATAAAGTCAAAGTAACATAACCAAAAGTGCTGGCACTACTCAAAAGTGGTGCGGAAAAGAATGCGGACAAATTCTCCACATCCACAAGCCCCAACCACACCCGTTTCACCATTACACAGTCATGGTATGTTAGACTGCTTTTACTCCATTGTTACAGCAAGGACATGATGAATTAAAAGACATCCCATTGAACTAGCATTGCATTGGTTAAGAGATGATTTTGCAGTACAAAGTAGAGAATAACATATTGGCCAAAAAAACAGTAGAGAATAGCCTTAACTCATTCATATAGGGATGGCAACGGCACAAGCAAGGCCAAGATGAGCTATCCCCACCATCCTCGGGGATAAGGATCTTCACGAAATTTTTGCAAGAGACAAATTCTTCCCCATCCCTGTCCCTCTAAGGAATGTCATCCTTAAAAGAACTCCTACTCGTTCAAATCAAAGTAATATAATGCCTGATTATGAATTAAATGAAAAGATAATATTTAAGTTCCAGCAAGCTTTGTCACTTTGTAACAAGTAATCTACATTGTCATCCGAAAGAGCAGCCATTTAAATTAAAACAAGAACTACAATTGGCCACTCAAACACCAAACAAAATGCAGTTTGTACTACCGATACTTCTCCGGGAAAGGTATTAACTAGGGAGACATGAACCAAAAACAAATCAATATACCAAAGCAGAAGAAACACACAGATCATCAAATGAAACTACACTCGACATTGATAAACGTACTTACCGGGGCGTGCAAAGCGTCAAAACAGAATTCAAATTTGCTAAACTCTTCTCGACGACCTGAAATCGGAAGGCTCCGGAGAAACCGAAACCGATCGACCTGATACCAGTCCGGCGATGCAAAATCAACACAAAATGAAAAATAGAGAAGGGAACAGAAATTATACAAATAAAACGTTTCATCGAACACAGACCGGAAGGAGAACACGCAGAAATCGCCATTAAAACTGTCAAAAGTGAGAACAGAGTGAAGATCACCAATGCATAAACACATCAGTGTGGGGGGAGGCACGGTGGAGATCGCGGAGGAAGCCAAGAAAGCAAGAAAGAAAGCCTTTTGACAGAAAAGCAACGGGTTTGACTTAAGGGGACGAATTGAAAAGGACGGTGTAGCATCATTATGACTACCGAAAAGCGTCGTATGTTGTAGAGAGAGAGAAAAATATCTTTTGCCACTTAATGGGAGAGTGATTCTATACAATCAGGAGTCGAAAGGCTGAGTGTAGATTTGGTCAGCTGCCGCGCTTTTATCTTCGGGCCTTTCTTCACGCTCTGGGAGGGTCCAGTCCTCAATTTTCTGTTCGATTTTGACAATGTTTGGTGTCTGGAAAACAGAAGAGAAAGAAAATGATAAATGAAATTTTTAATTAATTAAAATAAAATATTTAAAAACACTAGAGATATTTTTTTTGGCATTTGTAAATAGTTGTTTGGTGGTAATTAAATAAATTAAATATTTTAAATTATAAATAATAATTATTATTAATTATTAACTTTTACTTCATTTTAAATAGTTAATTCAAACTCTCCAATATAGTTCTTTTTTAGTAAAAATCCCAATATAATTTAATTAGTTAAATCATTTTTCTCAATTTTTTTTCATATCAAATATACAATTTAATTTATACAAACAAAAGTAATTCTCTTTTCATTTTCATGCCTTTTTCACTTGATGCAGCTTGATTTTAAAACATCTTTCTAAAATATTACTACTGCCACATCATTGGAGTAAAGTCCTGAAATTGAGAACATTTTATGCAAAAAAATTTCACAAATTCTCGCTTCCTCCTTCAGTCACATGGTTTAGAATAAGGATGTCAACATGACCCGTGGGGTTGGGGAGTCTTTTCCTGTCTTCGTCCTCGCCATTTTCTGTGGAGATTTTTGACGATGATAGATTTTGTCTCTCATCTTCATTCTCCACCGATTAATATCCAAATAAATATTTTTTACATTAAACATAAATAATTAGTAGAAAAACATAAATGGTTAAAAGTATTAGGTTGGGTTGGGTTTGGTTGGATTGAAAAAAATTGGGTTAAATTTTATTGAATTAGTTTTGGAATCGAGTTTGGATTTGGATTTGAATTTAAATTTAAAAATTGTATTAAATTGTAAGGTCTCACAAAACAAAAAAAATTTCTCACAAAATTTTACAAAAAAAAAATGCCTCACATCCCCATTCCACAAGGAGAAATATTACTTTCTACCCTGTCCCCGTAACGGAGATTCTCGCGGGACATCACAGCAAGGATCAGGCAAATTGTCATCCCTGTTTTAGAATGACAAGCTATTTAATAGATGTTTTTTCTTAAAGAAATTAGTTAGGGTGTGTGAAAAAAAAAATATTTCTCAACTGATTTAAAATATTATACTAACTATTGTATATCAATTATTTAATTATAAGCTTATAAATATAATTATCAACTATTTTTAATAAAAAAATGTTTTGAAGTTTTTAACATCCGGTCTAGACATCATGCGGAAGGGAGGTGAGGTGATCATATTCGAGGCTTAAAGCCCACAAGATATTTGAGCCGGGCTGCAGAGAGGTGTACGTAGTAGGATCTTACCATGGGCTTCTCCGGCCCA